AACTAAAACATATTTCCATGTCAGTGTTTTGTTCCAAATCGTCTGTCAAGCAAAAGTTAAAAAAAAAATCATCATTATACGTTTCTGCTTTGGCAACCGTAGTAATGAAAAGAGTCAACGTGACTTTGTTCTTGAGTGGCAGACGGCAAACAGAGTTACAAAGAGCAAGAAACTGCAGGAATCCCTCACCAAGGCATATTCAAGGTCTCTATTAAAATGCAGTCATCTTCTGTTATGTCACTTTATATACACAAGAAAAGCCAGTTCACTTATGCTGGTCTTAATGTTATAAAATTATCAGTGCAAAGAAGCAGACACCCTGCAGGTCTATCTGCACAATCAGGAAGGCATACATTCAAATCTACGTTTAGGAATCAAATTAACAAGATACTAAACTTTGAATGTAGTCATAATGTAACAGTTAATTGAATTTCGGGCGGTCAGATTGAGCACATTCTTTTATTACTATGAATTTCTATTTGAGTGCTTTAACGATATTCACAGTGTCCCTTTACATTGAAACACTCATGAATAACTTAACAATATTAGGGTTACACTATAAGGGCATAAGGTTTAATTACTCAGTCTTTGTTTCTACTACGATACTGAGGAGCCTTAGTTATCATTGCTTAGGAGAAAACGGTTTGCAAATGGAGCAGTAATGTCAGAAGGGCTTTTCCATCCACAGGAGCCTTAATCTCAGGGATGGGATAGTTTCCGAGTTTTGACCTTAAAGAAATATTTCTGAGGGAAAATACTAACTTATTTCTTAGATAAGAAGATGAGCCTTCTCTCATGTCATGTGAAGCTTCTGTCAGCACCCTGGTCACTTAGCATATTGACTGAAAATAGGGAAAATGCTAGTGTGGCTCTGTCCAATGATAGCATGCAATCTCTTTAAAGAAAAAGAAGGAAAAGAGGAAAAACATGTTGCAGCTTTGCAGGTGTTTATTCTTCCACTGAGGGCTCCATGCAAGTTGACTTCAAATTTGAAAATAATTTCTGGGAAATCAGCAAAAGGAAAATTTGTTTTTAAATGTGTCATTATGTACTATTATGTGAATACCATGAGCTGGTGCATTGAGATAAACAGCTGGTGACACTGATTGTTCAGTCAGGTGCCATTAAATCTGTGCTTAAAAGGGCACAGCCATATATAATGAGAGGGGCAGATAAATGGCAAATTAGATGAATAATTACATTGTAAACAACATTAAAAACATGTTTCTAAAACACCAGTTTCAAAATGTTGGGGCAGTGTGTAAAATGTAAATGAAAAAATATATATAATGACTTGCAAATTTTAGAAATCCATATTTTGGTCACAATAGAGCAGAGAAAACATTCAATGTTTTCTCTGCTCTATTGTCCCATTTTAAGAAAAATATTAGATTCTTCTGAATTTACTTTTCTGCAATAGCTCTCTGTGTTTCCCATCAATTCCATGTTTCCCACTGTGTAACATCCACTCTTCTTTTAACAACAATTTATATATACATTCTGTATATATCTGGGAATTTATAAGAGCAATGTTGTCCACTGTTGTCAGATCCTTTGTTTATTGTCCCTGTAACAGTCCTGTGTCTTCTTTGTTAAATGTCTACAGTTGGTGAAACGTCTGGACTCAAGGCTGGACAGTTCAACACCTGGACTTTTCTGATACAGTGATGTGGTCTTTAGCATTGTCTTGCAATGTGGAATCCCTTTTAGAGCATATGTTGCTCTAAAACAAACCTTTCAGCATTGACTACAATCTCATAGGCACTACTGTACTCTCATACCATCAAAGATGGGAGCTTTTGAACTCCTCTTTAATCCAGAGGATGCACATTCAGTGTTTTAGAAAAATAATTTAAATTCATCTGACCACAGAACAGCTTTCCACTTTGCATCAGTCCATTTTCAGCGAGCTTACAGATGCTTGCAAAGAGAAGTTGGGTTAGCAGCATAATGCTGTTGTTACTGTCCTGGATGCAGTTTGCACTTTACCATCGTACTCTCTTCCTTTTATGCAATAAAAATAAAATTAATATTGGATGCTCATATCCACACTTACAGCTCTACTATTTTCCTCCCCCAGCACAAAAACTGAAATCAGCTGATTGCAGCATGAATTCAAGTGGAACCGATGAGCGGAATCAATGGGCAAGCAGACCCACAATTCCAGGGAAATGAACGCTTACCCGATTCCCATCCCTAGTGACAGAGCTTAAACCTGCATTTGTGGATGGCATAGTGAGTGTTGACAGAATGATTTCTGGGAGTTTTCCTGAGCCTATGTAGTGATTTCCATGCAGAGTCGTGGCTGTTTTTACTGATTTCTGTGAGATTCTCCATATTTTGTGAATCTTTTGATGATTTATCATGTGCTGTAGATGGTGAAATATTCAAATTATTTATAATTTTATGCTGAGGAACATTATTCCTAAATTGTTCCACAGTTTGGTGGATCTCTGTCTTTTACACTTGGTATACACCTAATGTTACTGACCTGTTGCCGTTTAATTTAATTAGTTACAAAATGTTCCTCGAGTTGTTTCTTTTTAATGTCACATAATTTTTGAGGTCTTCCATTAGTGCACATTAGGACAAGGTGTTAAAATTGAGGCGATGCAATTAATACACTTTATACTTGTGGATTTTTAATACTTAGAGTTGTCTCCAATTTATTAAACTCAGTTTCTGTCATCATCAAGACATTACTGCCACGCTAACAAATTTCCATGGGGTAGGGAATTTGAATTTTTCTCTGCTCATTGACTCGAGACCAATGTCCATACATCCATTTTCGTCACTGCTTATCCAGTTCAGGGTCACGGGGAGCTGGAGCGTATCCCATGACCCCGAGAAAGGTCACCAGAAGCTAATGTTTCCACCTGATTTTAACATCTTCTTTAGCTGATGATAATGTACAGACAATCCAGCTTGGTCAGGGATTAATCTAAGGACTAATGACTGACCTACCAGCATGATGGTCGGGACTCATGTCAAGTATTTGAACCACAGAGGAGTTACAGTATCTTTCCTGTTTCCCATTCCTCATTCTAAGCTAAACATCTTCTGTTAGTAACCTTCTATGTATAAGAAATAGTTTTTCTCATTTAACTATCAGCAAAAAAGTGAATTTTTATTCTTTTAATTTTTCTTTGTAGTAATTGTTACGCCTTGGGCATTTTATCAAAGAACCAGATACTTTCTCGCACAGCTGTTTATCACCTATATTTATGATTCATCTCAGATGGCCCGTGTTTCAAAAATGAACACCCCCCACTGAATCCTGGGGCTCATTTTACAACAGTAATTCGTGAGCAATGCTGACATGCAGGAACAGGGAAAGTGTAAAGACTAACACAAGGAGGAAAATATCTCATATCGCTGAAGTTTGTTTTTAAAAAAAGGTGAAACGGCACCTAAAGAAATCTGTTTCACTTTTAAGAACTTCATGAGCCACTTTAGAAACAACAACCTCAAACTATCTTGCGTAGCTACAGGCCAAACCGTATGAACACAATCTGATTAATGCTTTTTGGGACATGTTGACTTCCTGACTTGCTTACATATGGATTACTCGGGTATGATTTTGCACATTTACCAGAGTTGTAAAAGCTTCCAATTTAAATGTTGGTTTTAAGCAGATTTGACACAGAAAATGAAAGGTAATGGGAAAAATGTGCACAAGAGAAGGCCGTGGAGATCCATGCAGCATAAGAAAAAGAAGAAGCAATGGATGAAAGGAGAGTACAGAGCGAACAGGAGGAGGAGAAAAGGAAAAGATTACTACCATAGTACATCAGGCTTAGCTTCACATCCTTAATGGTAACTATGGAAATAATTATAGAGCAGACAGACAGACTGCTAGAGAGAGTGTGAGCTTCAGAGAAAGAGAAGGAGAAAGGGAGGGCAAAAGACAACGGGAGAGGAGAAGAAAAGGAGAACTATGGGGGGTAAAGTAGCTGAAAATGTTTGCTGGAATCCCTAAACTGTGTCTCTAATGATTGGTGATTGCTTAAAGATCAGATGCACAGGGATGACGTGTAGGTTAAACCCTCACAAAGCCAGTTTAACCGCCTTCTTACAGCAGCTGCAGAATATGCTGTGACATCTTTTATGCCTTATGTTAATCTTTCCTTTGATATGAAACTGCAAGATATCTTAGGTGGGGGGGAAAAGCATCAACAGCATGGAGGTCATATTATTTTTATCCACCGTTATATCTTACCAGCGATAAGGGGGCTCTAGCGTGGTGAGTACAGCAATAGTACAGTGTCATAATAAAACGGTGCTTTAAAAAGTTGTTTCAAACCCACAGTTGTCATGGAAACAGATCTAAGATACTCTTTCCCCCTCTGAAAGTGCTCATTGCTTATCATTACTGAAAGCCCAATCAATGGAGATGTCATTAACAGTGAAATAAAAAAAGTACTTAATGTCACCTACATCAAAGTCAGATACATTGAGAAGTAAATTAAAGCTCCTGATGGATTTAGATAATTGGATGGATGACTTTGTTTATGCACTTATAAAAAGCAGCATGCTGTTGGAAATCAGCAGGGGTCAAGTGTGGCTTGGATAGAGAAATTAGCTGTGCAGTTTTTAATTTTGATTGGTCATGATTTGCCCGTGGGTGTGTGACAGCATGCATGGGCAGTTGGTACAGGACTGGTGGTTATACAGTATATTATGTGAGTGATAATATTGCATGCTTCCCACACAGTTGCCCCTGGCATGTACGTGTGTGTGTGTCTGTGTGTGTGTGTGTGTGTTAGCGGAAGGTGAAAGGTAAACAGAATAGACCGAGAGAGGAAAGGAAGATAGGAAGAAAGAGGGGAGTGTGGAAGCGAGAGAAACCACTCCAGGTCCCAGTCGGGAACCAAGCAGCCCCACCCCTTCTAAACATCTCTCTTCCTATTTCTCTCTCTCTCTCTTTTATTCTCTTTGCTGCTGGAAACAGAGAGAGGCAGCGAGAGAGGGAGAGACTGAAGCGCAGGGCATCAGAGCACTGCTGCTCCCTGCCTAAACTGAGCTGCTGTCCACCTGTGCGGGATAATCTCCGTCCAACCAGCAGCCAGGAGACACTACAACATCCACCGTTTGCCAGGCAGATTACTTAAGGGTGAACCGCCGTTTGGTGGAGGAATACGAGGGACTAAGTTGCCATTACAGCCTCGTTTTTTTGGGGTTTTTTTTTCCGCGTGCTGCTTGTCAGCTCCTGCCAAACGTTCAGTTTGTAGGCACTGCAGCTTTTAGACTACTTTATTCAGTGGCGCTTAGCTGTTTCTTGGCCACTCTCTCTCTCTTTTCTTTCCATAACGGTCTGTGTTTTTGGTGATTGTCCACACATTTCCGCCTGCATTTGGAAACTAAAGCTTCCGTTTGAATTCTTTCTGCTTGCTCGCTGGCTCAATGTTGGAGTTGTCCGATGAGAGCGAAGCGCCTTCGCTAAGCTTGCACATATAGAAAGGCGGACCTATTGCGCGCCGCACCGCTCCTTCACGCGCACATGGGCTCAGACGCGCACGCTCACACGCACGTGCACACACGGCTGCAACTCCAGACATGCAGCTGGTTCCCCTGTGTGTGCACACCTTAGCTTCTGAGTGCCGTTAAACTCCAGAGCTTAGCACAGATAAGCGTTTAGCTTTCACCCATCCATCCTTGCCAAGTTCTTTCTGATATGCACAAGGGGGACACCCGCTAAAGGAAACCATCGCAGAAACCATCTAAAAGATGAGAGAAATTGGCCTCAGCGGATTTCCCGTCGGTCACCGGATTTGTGAGTGCAGGGTCGGGGCGGAGGGCACCGGGGAGAGAGGACAGGGAGAGGCCGGGGAGGAGGAGCTCTCATCCGGACTGCCCGCCGCGGAACAGCCGCTGCTGCCGTGCTCAAGAAGCAGGCTGCTGCTGCCAGGGGGAGGCGGGGGGAGGATGAAGAGTGCCTCAGTCTGAAATTATAACACTCAGCTGGCTTTGGGAGTGTTTGTTTTCTTGCATTTTACCTCTCACTAATTAGTCTGAAGATGCGAGATAACGAACAGTGGCCTACTTAATAACTGTCATCCGTTCTCTCACCGGTGTGGCACTTTTGGGTCAGCTTAAAGGTAAATTCAGCACTTTGTTGAAGTGAAGGCCTGCAGTTGTGAATTTACCTGTTCAGTGGCTTTTGAAAGGACATCCTCCCACTTTACTAATTTCAACTTTGTGATTTTCTTTTCGTATTAGTTTAAGGTGTTTGTAGTAATATAAGTCAGACCTATACAGAATATCCTATTATCATTATAAAGGGACGTCTAGTGTGTCTGTGATACTCAGTAGTGGGTTTATAGTCGCTATATTGGACTTAATGGTCATTTCTATCTCTTCAATATTACTAGGATACAGTATTTCTTTAGAATAGCCAATATAAATACATAGTTTATAATTTTCTGTGATAATTAAATAGTATTGTATTTATATTTATTATAAGATCACTAAAATTCCTTTTGTACTCCCATATATGTAGATACCTTGAAGGAGCCCTGTTTCCAGGTGCCTTGATAGTGGAGGTTGGCAATTCATCATTTATTAACCTACCGAACTGTCTATGAATTATCAGAAGTCATGATATGATTTAAGGCCAACATGGTAGTGTTTTTGCTGTATTGGGCTTTTGTAGTGCAATTTCAAGTTCTCTTGCTTCGTTTTAGTTCGAGTCCTCTTGATTCCTTTTTTCCTAGGCTGATTTGAGCACTGACTTTTTTAGCAATACTCCTCTGTCTGGAACTCGACCACAGCCTTATAAACCCACCAGAAGATGGTCACCTGCTTATCAAACAGTATGACAAGCACATGTGTGTCCTAACACTCGGTGGCAGATGCTGTTTGCAGATACACCAACACGCTCAGTTATTTATAGACATTAATATCACTGTGTGCTTTTGGAGTATCAGTTCAGAACAAGTGCCGATGCTCGACGGAATGTAACCCAATCTACGGAGCTTCAGAAGTTTCAGTCAGACGCAGAGACTTGGAGGAATACAGGCTGAACTCATCTTTAATAGCAGCTGGCAGCAGCTGACTGTGGGGGTCACAGACTGTACACTGGAAGTGCAGAGACACTGTCTTTAGAAGTTTGGACACAAAGCACAAGAGCCCCACCTGATCTAGGTAGGACATCTTTTTGTTTCATATTTGTTGCACTAAAACCTCTGCATATGCACATCCAGCTCATTATAACATCTGATGCAGGTGTACAATTTGAATTTTAAAATAGTCCTCTCTGCAGAAATACATCACTATGGCCGAACTGCAGTTTTGAAATTATAAGCTTGATTACGGCACTGATCTGAGCTTTTTTCTGAGAGGGTGTTTCAGTTTTACCAGTTCAAAGTGTCTAATTTTGGAAATAATTTTGTGAACTTACTTAATGAAAATGCATAAAAAGCTGTTTCCAAGTGTGCTGTAAATGCACTCCTAATCTTCACCCTATTTGCACTCATCTCTTGTACAATGACATCACTTTCGTCTGTGTGTTTCTGCTGGTTTGTCGTCATGCTCAAGAGCACAAATAGTCCACCACTTCCCATCTGCTGTTGCCTCACATGCAGTGCAATAATACAGCAAAAACCCAGCATAAAACAGTGTTTGTGTTGCTCAATTTAATGCTAAAAGTTCATATTTCTTAGCTTTAATTAACTCTTTATTCCAATTAAAACAATTTGCTTGATGGGAGAGGGCTGTTTGGGTTATGGGGTTTAAAGGTTTGATGGCTCCTGATGTTCTTTTATTGCTCTGTGGGGAAAATTGCATGTGAAGTAAATAATGTACTGTGACAAGCATTGTCCTGGTAAATCAGATCAGACCGTACTCTCTTCCCTTTGGTCTAAAAATCAAATATTTCCCACAAGAAACACAAGCTGGATCCAAAATTAGACCTTTCATTTCTTTGTGTTAAAGCTGCAGTAGGTGTGTTTGCAGAGAATAAGAAAGACAATCGCCCACCCCTCTTTCTACTTCCCACAGACACGAAGGCAAAAGCAATCGGTAGGCAGCTGAGTGACAGCTCTGAATGAAGCTCTCCTGCTCAAAAGTTTACCTCAGATTCCCAAAACACAGCATTAACAGTGACGGCAAATAGGAGAGAAATAGCACTATCAATAAAACCAGGACTCTGACATTATATTACTCATTTCTTCTAACCCTGCGGGGGAATTGCATTTGCCTGATTCAAACAAAATGTCAACTTATAAAAATCTGCCTATGATAGTTTTAGATAATGGGAGCACATAAAATAAAATATCTTGAGCTGAAGCATTAGAAAGAGCAACGGTAGAAACAAAACCATATATTATATTAGTGGTTTGTGGATTGTGAAACTCGTTTTACCTAGCAAATCAGCTTTGAGAGTACAAAGGACTGTCCAGAATTTTGGTTAACTGCCAGCTTGGCTCATACTGTTTATGTAGAGTAGAGAAACTTGTGATCAGCAGTGAAAATGTGTCATTATTCAGTTGTTGGCTGGTGCTTCTTTCCCATTCTGTGTTATTTTTTTCAGATTTGGTTACAATGACTGATCCATGAAAGGCCCATTATTTAACAGCACATCTGAGTTTTTGGTTTTCAGATTTCAGCTGCTGTGTAATGTTCACATTATTTCTGTATGAATTAGTTTATTTCTATTTTAGACTTGTGCAGGGTTTTGCATCCAGACTTTTGTACGACTGTATATAAAGGATGAACATATCACATTGCAAGTGGTTTCTAGACCACTGGATTATCTTGAAGAGAGCTGCAGTGTTCGTTTTTGGAGCTAGGAGTAAATTAGGACAAGTGGGTGGAGTGCTGAGTTATAAGTTATATATACATAAGCAGTATGGGTTCAATGCAAAGATACACATAACTGCTAATTAGCGCTAGATTAGGGAGACCAATAAAAAAACAGAATTTAACAATTCAAAACTGAAGCACAAGCTTCTTTGCAGGCATCTCATGTCATTTTCCACACAATTCTATTAAAGTGCTCTACAAGGCAACAACACCAGGAATACAGAGAAGTCCAGTTCAGTGACTCTCATTGGTGGAGCTGACACCAACAGGGTATAACTGTCTGTGTCAGGATAGCTGTCAAACCAGTATCCACCCCCACTCGTTTCAGAGTTGGTCTGCAGGGAAAAATCTAAAGAGGCTCAAACAGTTTTGTGTAGCAGGCTGTAAACATGCTTTTTAATGTAAGGTTGGGAATTTTGATTCATCTTTATATGAAGTTTTGTATTGATTGATTGAATACCTATTAGATTAAAGAGGTAATGTTATTACTTTGCATCCGTAAACTTATAGGACTTGTGATGAACACATTTAGTAAGCAATGCTGCAACAGTGACAAAGAAATGAGAAATGAATTATGCAACGTTTTCACCATAGGCTGTGTTTTTGTACAAGACTACAAGAAGTTATGTGATGTTTGCCTTAATCATGCCATCTCACACTTTTGAAACTGGGCGTTATGAATGAGGGGCAGATTTGACCAAGAACCAAAGGGCACTATGCACACTAGGGCCAAGCAGATGGGTGGATGTTCTGCAAAGGATGATTTTGTTGTATGCTTGTTCTTTTGTTTTGATAATTTAAGGGTCTGCCTACTTACGAATTTAAATTGGTTTGTCATGAGTCAATGGTGCAGGTCAAAGTCAGTTCAAAAATCATATTTAAGAAGCAGAATAAAAATTGTATGTAGAGTTTGTAATCGTCATCTGGGACTATCTAAAGGTCAGAGCCAGTGAAACCTGGAACTTTATGGTTGTTAAGTACAGAGGATGTAACTAAACCAACTTGATTTTTGTGTGCAACAGCTTTATGGGATAACAAGCTATCCCAGAGCCCATGCTTCTTTTGCTGCATGTTGCTAGCTCTTCTCCAACACCAACTCACAGGATGTGCACCCTGAAGCAGGGTTTACATGTATGCATTGCTTCAATCGTCAAGGCTTCACTGCCTTGTTTGGAGGGATGGCTTTGCTGCAATTATCGTCATAGCAACAAAATATAAGATATACTATATGTTATCCTTACTTGTTTGTTCAGTTAAATGCTATAAGTGGTGTCAACCGTCATCAGATTACCTAAATTAGGTCCCTTAAAAACGTTTTGCTCTGAGCGAGTGTGTGCGGAGTCTGTCTGCATAAACTGTTTACACAAAGTTTTCAATATCTCCCAAAAATGAATGTGTCTCTATAGCAGCAAATTGGTAATCACTTCCTAAAGCAGAGAGTTGCTTATCATCTGTTTTATTGTAAGTGGGACTGTAATGTAGAGAATACATTAATGCTGCACTGAATAAGATTTGAAACGAGTGACTGGAGAAAAAAAACTCTTCAGTTTTTCTTCCTTTCTTTCTTTTTTTTAGCAAGGTTATAAATCAAGAAGTAGACACAGTGTGCTGGACATTTGGATTAATGCAGGTTTCAGGGCACTTCTTTATGGCCTATATGTTAAAGACTAGAGGCTTCTAGTTATATGTATCTTCATCTGTATGTATTTTTTTTAAAAAAAAACTAAAACCCCAAAAGTGTCAATAATATGCAGGAAAACAAATGATACTTTCAAATGAAATGTATATATTAATGTGGTGCTACTACAGTCATGGAATAATGTGTTTTTGCTGCAAAGTTGGAATAACAGGAGACTTTTCTTCTCTTTCTATTCTGCTAATACTGCCTAAAAGCAGCGTTACACCCCTCCCTTCATATAAATGCCAACATCTTTCAGACTCTACTTCTGTTTATGACACAAGTGCTCTGAAAAATAGAAGTTAAGCCCAACATTAATAAAATTCTGAGCTGAGCCACAGAGGTCAAGTGTTTTCATAAACTGAGTACTCCTTGTGACAAGCGAGCTGCATTTAATTTGTAGAATTGTCCCTGTTATTTGTCAAAACTGTCCTCCCAAAATGAGAGATGAGACCGTCAGCCAATTCAGCAACTGCAGAGACGTTACTTACCAGAGGTGTGGACTCGAGTCACATGACTTGGACTCGAGTCAGACTCGAGTCATTAATTTTATGACTTTAGACTTGACTTGAAAAAATGTTCTAAGACTTGTGACTTGACTTGGACTTTTACACCAATGACTTGGGACTTGAATTGGACTTGAACCGGTTTACTTGAAAAGACTTGATATTTTACCCCAAATATAAAATTTAACATGCATATTATATGGAGATTGAAAATGTGACGTCATTCACGGGTAGAACCGCAAAGGATTCTGGGAACTCGTGGCAAGCGGTACTAGCACACGCAGGCTTTCAATTAAAATCAGTCACACAGCGATAAAAAGAAACACAAAAATGTCAAGAAGCTGTTGTATTATTAACTGCAATAGCCGGTCGCATGACAGCCACGGGAAGCCGACGGGTAAAGAGATCGGTTGTTATCGGATTACGTCGTTGAAGAGAAATTGTTCGAGCCATGTTTTCGAAGTAACAAAGAGGCGACTGGATTGCAGCCATTCAAAGATCAAATATAACGTCCTAGAACCCTCCAGCTCACAGGTTAGTCTGCTCCAAGCATTTACACAAAGGTCAGTCTGCTGTTGTAGTTAATGCGTCATTTTTCTTAACATAATTGGTGATATAGGTTACAAGCAAGTCTGGCGCTGAACAGAAATTGTCGCGCTATGCTCCTTTATTTATTGTGCATAAATAGTAAATTGTCCTGACACAATATTGCGTTTCGCTTCTGTTATTATGGTACACTGACAAAAACATATACTTTTATTCACAGGATAAAACAGGTTTTTTGTATCACTAATTGCCCAGTACGATTACAGCATACAATATTATTGTCACTGCTACATTTCTGTGATGCTACCAGAAATTATTTCCACTACTAATTAATTACCGTTGAGCTCAAAGGTTATATTAATAAACGGTTAACGAATGTGTATTTATGAAGACGATTTGTGAGACTGGTAAACTTATGATACGTACGATGGTCTTTCGTTCTACACGGTGCATTTCAAGGTCCTGCACCCATCTGTCGGTAAACTGTACCTGGGCTTGTTGCAGTGACCTGAAGTTACTAAACTTCATGAGTGTATGCACTCACTCCAAGAACCGTATGATTATAAATATGCATATAAATATGCTACGATGAGATAGCTGACTTCATCTAA